TTGTCCCCGTGCCTCACCCCCTGGAGTCTGCATTGTTCTGATTAGCTTGGGGCCACAGATCTATGGCAGCGGCTCCCCTCGGCCAGTGTTTTTAGATGAAAACCTGTCCTTGCAGTTTTGATAAAGAGTACCTTTAAAGTAACAGAACCACAAACAATATCACCTTTCCTCAACTTACATGAAATTAAATAAAATTTTAGTGGGTTGTGTGTGAGTGGAGGAAAGGGCTCTGCCAGTGTAATTTCTTGAGTAAGCTAAATGTTAGACCAGTAGTTTGCATTTGTAAGTGCTCTGTTTGCTGATTATGCATAAGTGTAGGCTTCCAAAGTGCAAAAATGGCTCTTTTAAGGAGCTTAAACAGCCCCCCAGTAGTATGCAATATTCAATTTGAGCCACTCTTTTGCAACATAAATCATTTCAGCCACTGTTCAAGCTGTTACAAATCACAGTTTGACAACTAAGCACTTGTGGATTGACCTGTTCTGGGCTTACCAGGGTCATTGCTTTCTGCTCTGTTTTTCTCCTCATTTCTGTGGGACCCAGGGGGAGCAGACAACGTGGGTTCCAGCCCTGGCTCTGCTCCCGACACTGGGTCACAGCCAGCTGGAGCACTTGTGGGCTGTCCCTCTCACAGCCAGTTGGAGCACTTGTGGGCAGGATGGTGGACGGTGGGATCTGGGGTGCATGGGACAGATGCAGCCCCTGTACTCGGAGAGCTCATGGGGTGGTCTCTCTGGGGATAAGACAGACACATTAGATAAACATCTTAACATCTGATATGTGTCACCGAGGAGGGGCATAGCGGCTTAGAGGTCTGTTAGAAAGTGGACATGCTGGTCATGATGAGGCCAGGCACACAGCCCTGGGCACACCTGAAAGGTGGGGAATTGCTGGCCTGGTGAGGGGAGGGGGCTGCTATTCTGGGGGGAGGCTGGCAAGGAGCAAGGCAGGGGCCAGATCCTGTGGAACCCACTAAGCTGTGACAGCTTGTGGGCAAGACTCGGAGTCCTCTTTCCATCCAGTGTGTGGAGTGGGTGCAGGTAGCAGCTGCCCTCCAGGCCAGGATGCCAGCCTCATAGGCAGGGGTTGAGAAGATGGAAGTGACCAGAACCCAGAGACACAGAAACCCACATGTGCCCGACTTCTGCAGCCTGGCAGCTTCCTGCAGGTGTTTAGCCCCAGAGGGAAGAAACGATCCTCCACCGCAAGGGCTGTGAAACCTCAAACCCCTGCCGCCACCTCAGGACGGTCTTGGTTTTCAGACCCTTGGTGCTGAGTCATGCGATTCCAGCCTGACCACCCTGCCATCTCCCCCGTGGGCAGCCAGCGTGGATGGCTGAAGAGGCTGGGAGGGCCGCTGCCCTGGAAACCGTCCCCAGGCTTTAGTCTGCAGACGTTATTGCTAGTCTCAATTTTTGCCAACTGGGAATATCAGAAGCTCTTTTGAGCTCCAAGCCTGTCTTTGGCTTTTTCATGTGTGTTCCAAGTGCTGCCCCAGGAGGCCCCGGCACTCCGGGTGGTTCCCTGGATGTCCAGTAGGGGGCACTCACCCATTACACGAGCGCATCACTCTGCTTTGGAAATCCTCCCCTGGGGTCGCAGGGGAAAGCTGTTTCAAGAGGTCCCCGTGCAGGTTCCTTGATTTCTCATCAGCCTTTTTTGCCTGGACTTTTCTCAGCCTCAGATTTTTTGGGGCAAAATCCTGGGGAGGTGGCCAAGTTGTATTTTCTTAATTCACAGTTTCATTGCCTATAAAAAATTATTAGAAATCATCATATAAAAAACTTCTCCAACAAAAATCAAACGAGAATTCACAAAGTGTCTGAACACCTGAGCTGCCTCCGTTAAAGTCGCCCCACATATGCTGGAACCTAACAAGGGAGGAACTTCAGGGCCTGACTTGAAGCCACCGCCTCCACCATGCATGAGTGGAGGCCGGGCGGGGAGTCCCGGGGAGCAGTGTGCTGGGCCTCTAAATAGTCCAGTCTGTGCACGGGGGTGGGGGGGGGTGAGTGGGGCCTGATGAATGTGCCATTAATGAGCCGAGTTCCATTTGGAATAATTCTCCCATTGTGTCCCCAGCGCCTCCCCAGCTGCTGCCCGTGCGGATCCTGCTCCCCCGGCCTCAGAACACGCGGCCTTGCCTTCTGTCCCAGCCGGTGATGGAGTAGAAGCTTCCACTCCCTCCTGCCAGGATCTGGCCAAGGACCTAAGCAGGTATTGTATGAGCTCCCCCTCCGCAACAGCTGTTCCCAGAGAGCAGGAGCCCGGTGGTCTCTGTTCCCTGGGTTGTGGGACAAGCTGCATTTAGGTGTTGACGCTTTGGTCCTGTGATACTATGTCTCTTATCATTTGGGCTGTGGCTGATCTGAAGTTTGCCTTTGCCAGGTAGCTCTTCATGTGAACATGGGGTGCTCTGTGTGAGCAAGAGTATTAGTCAGGGTTCTCCAGAGAAACAGAATCAATAGGATGTGTTTATGTATATACAGAGGAAGACAGAGAGAGAGATTTATTTTGAGGGATTGGCTCATGTGATGGTGGCACTGGCAAGCCTGAAATCTGCAGGGCAGGCTGGTGGGCTGGAGACCTAGGGAAGAGCTGATGTTGCAGTGTCCAAAGGCCATCTGCTGAGAGTGTCCTGTTCTTTGGGGGTAGAATATCCTGATCTTAAGGCCTTTGTCTGATTGGATGAGGCCCACCCGCATTATGGAGGGTAATCTGGTTTTCTCAAAGTCTACCAATTTAAATGTTAATCTTATCTAAAAAAATACCTTCACAGCAACTTGGAGACTGGTGTTTGACCAAATATCTGGGTTTGATGGCTCAGTCAAGTTGACACTTTAACCTTTACAGCAAGTATTTGGAACTCCTGTTTCTGTGCAAACAGCCAAGCAGTTGGTTCTGATTATCAGCCATTCTGCTGAGACATGAAAGCCCCCTAAAGAGCATTCTTAGACAGTTTTTTGTGGAGAGCCAAATACGCCTGGGTGTGCTGAGAGGTGTGGGCCTGTGCCACAGGGGAGTTCCTGCTGGCTGGGGAGGCACAGGCTGGAGAGCTAAGCTGCAGTGGGGGGTGAGGATATAATGATGCCTAAAGTGCTAGGTGACCACCTGCCAGACCAGAGTGTGCAGAAGTAATAGGGGAATCAGGGGAAGGGAACCTCACCACACACAGAGGTGGTGCTAGAACACTCAGGAATGAGGAAGTGGGCATGGAGCTGGACCAGCATCTCTCTTATCTGGATGGCGCTCCTGGAGCATTAAGCGCTTTCCTGTCCATTATCTCCTGGGATCTACCTGCAGCTCCATTGGTCCTGAGTCCCAGGGTGAGGAATTTACCTGTGAACCCTCAGCTCATCCCTGGCAGAACAGGAACTTTCAACACCCCCTGCTTGGTTCCACTGCAGTGCTTTGTCTCCTGTGGCCATGGGCTGAGAGTGGGAATGTGTGGGAGGTTGCTTTTGCAGTGGTGAGATAGCATGAGCAGAGGATGGGGAGCAGAAATATTCACAGGTGTTGGGGAGATACCCTTGGTTTGTCTTGGGCATAGTGGGTGCTAGATCGGATATGTTGGAAGAAGAAAGAAAATAACTCTTCTTATGTATTCTGCCCTTTGGCTTCTTGCAAAGTTAAACACAAACCTACCATGTGACTGAGCAATCCAATTTCTAGATATTTACCCATGAAAAATGAAAATATTTGTCCACCTAAAAACCTGTATGCTTATAGCAACTTCACTCATAATAGTCCCAAAATTGAAGCGACCCAAATGTCCATCCACTTGTGAAAGTATCAACAGATTGTGGTATGTGTGCCCTGTGGAATACTACTCACCAATAAAAAGGAGCAAACTACTGATTCGTGCAACAAAATACAGGTTGAGCATCCCAAATCTGAAAATTTGATATCTGAAATGCTCCAAAATGCTAAGCTTTTTGAATGCCAACATGATGCTAAAAGGAAATGCTCACTGGGGCATAATGCAGATATTCCAAAATCTGAAAAAATCCAAAACACTTCTTTTTTTTTTTACCTTTTTGTCTTTTTCCGTGTCCGGCAACGGATCGCAACCCTCAGTGTCGTGCCCGTAACGGACCGGGACCGGCTACGGGATCGCAACCCTTGGTGTTGCGCCCTCACCTCGCTCAGTCAGTGAGCGGCCGGTCTGTATGTGGGATCCGAACCCTCGGGGGAAGCGCCGCCGCGCTTCCCAAGCGGCGCACTGTAGCAGTGTGCCACCGGGCCGGCCATATTCCAAAATCTGAAAAAATCCGAAACACTTCTGATCCCAAGCATTTTAGATAAGGGATATTCAAATGCAGTAGGCTTAGAAAAAGGCCAGACTCCAAAGGCTGTATGATCCCATTTATACGATATTCTGGAAGAGGCAAGACTATAAGGAATGGAAGACATCTCAGTGGCTGCCAGGGGTATGGACTACACATAGGCATGAGGGACCTCTTTGGGGTGATGGAAATGTTCTGTCTTAGTTATGGTGGTGTTTACATGACCA